CGTAAGCGAATCGTTCTTCATGAAGCCTGAGGGAGAACTGACGTCGTGGAGGCGAGCTCATTAGAAAGAGAAAAATTATTCGTTTTTCCGCGCTTAACTCTAATAAAAGATAATCATAGTTACGTAGTTATTTATTATATATATAGTCAGACCTGGAATTATCCCAGAAGCTTAGCTCTTTGTTTATAGACCAGCATGTTGGTTGTCATGCAGCACTTAATATATTCATGGTACATGAAATTGTTATTTCAAAGGGCCATTTTGGTATACAGATAACGACGCAGTCACAAAACTAAATTGAATAATCTCGTCGACACAATCCAATCAAAGGCAGCATGACCACACGAGGGTAACCTAAAGGTACGTTTGCACAAGGAACCCAGCAGTGTATTCACAGTCAGGATGATAAGAACAGATCATGGTTATTTACACGTAGCAGCTAATTTCAAACAACGCTACTACACGAAATGTTAAGAAGAGCAATTTGATTTAATATATGTTATATATCTGTATTCCTTTTCGGACTTTGTTATTTCTCTTGAAAATATGCGAAAACTTGTACTGTGCAAAAGAGCGAATGCAATCATTGCTTCTGTCACTCAGCTTTCATTAAGATTTATCAAGTCCCAAACTGCCAACGGATTCCGCTGGGTTGCGAGACCTCTGACTCATCCGGCAAAAGTAAGAAATGCAATAGAACCAGTTCATCACCACAAATTAAGTGGCAGGTTGATTGAAAATGTGTTCAAGTATATACATAGATAGATATTCACAAGCGCGCACATGCACGCATGACTGCCATCGACACACACACACACACACACACACACACACACACACACACACACACACACACACACACACACACACACACACACACACACACACACACACACACACACACACACACACGCACGCACGCACGCACACACACACGCACACACACACGCACACACGCACGCACACACGCACGCACGCACTCGCGCGTGCACATGCAGTGAGTATGTGCATGTGGTTGTGTATTTGTAAGCAGGGTATTATTTGAATAACCAGTGGCAGAAAATATAAAAGTGGTCATATATATATCTGAAATACTAGAATGTGAACGTCAGTATAATTCTATTTTTAAATCTGCTAACATTTGGTCCCTTTCCCTTCGATAAGTATTTTTCAATACGTAATTTTCCGCAGCCGTTTTCCCTATTTTTCCCAGCAACAGCAGTACTATTACGAAGCCATCATTGCAGAGGCGTGTCATGAGACGCTCTTGGTCGAAAACACGAATGCTTTTTAATTTCTGATTATGGAAACACAAGCAACCAAAGATGGGATGGTTTTTTTCTGACGCCGCATACAATATTTTTTTTCAAGATTCCTGAAGAAGTTTGATGCGTCAGCTCCTTCTGTTTCCCCAGGAACCGCTGGACACCCCGAGGATCACCACCACCAGCTTGCTCAAGACTCGGATCAGCAAAGCCAGTGGGGCGCCCCGGATGACCTCGACTCTGTGATAGAGCTCCTCACAAATCTCTCTCCAAACTGTTCCAATAACAACTATAACAGCAGCCACACCCCCAAGCAAACCGCGACGCCCACACCAGGCGAGGGAGAAACTCACACCAAGGCAGCACCCTCGCTTCTGGATGAAGAGGTAGGGTCGCCCTCCAGCACCATCGACTCGCGATCTTCTTCGAGAACGAGGTCGAGCGGGAGGTCTTCGGGCTCCGAGAGCGGTCTGCGGGACAGAGGTAAGCAGCGGACTGAGCGTCTCGTTAGAGTGGACTGCCAACTTGACCTGATGCCAGTCAGAAAGAAAATAATAACCAGTTACAACGGTAATTTGTGGAATATTATCAGATGTAGCTGTTCTTAAATATTCTATCTCTTCTCTTCGATTGTGCAGGAGTATGGGTGGTTTGGTGTCCAGAGTGTGGCTACGAGGCGCATGTCCCTCCAGGGGGCGTCGAGTGCTTCCCTCTGAACTATGTCCTGCAGAAGCAGCTGGTCCTCGAAGCGCTCAACTCCTCTTCCACCACGGTATATTGCGACCTCTGTCATGACGGTGAGACTGAAAAATTAGTTGCGATCGTTTCGCGAATAGTTTTGGAATAGTACACTCACAATTTGATATCCAAGTGGTGATAGATATTAATATTCGCTAGTTCTGTATTTATTTGTATGCACATTCCCCTGGCCATAAGCCATTACCTGCGCATGATGTAACTGAAAGTAAGGCTCCATTGCAAGTTGCACATGAGCCTACTGAGTGAGGAGAGCATGTAGCGTCATACCGTTGGCGCAAGGGAGGGCCTGGTGTTCCACAGGCCTTGAGACTTAGTGCGTGATAAAGGTTTCGCTCTCAATACGTTAAATGACTCACTAATAAAGCATTTGTTCCTCAAGGTTTAGATTTGCTTTGTGCTCTGTGCCTAATACAAAACGTTTCCTGAATATACCAAAATTCTGGTGTGGATTCAACTAGGCGTTTCTACCCCAGACG